TTGCTGTTGCTATTGTTGTTGCTGTTGCTGTTGCTGTTGCTGTTGCTGTTGCTGTTGCTGTTGCTGTTGTTGTTGCTGTTGCTGTTGTGTGTGTGTGTGTGTGTGTGTGTGTGTGTGTGTGTGTGTGCTCGTGTGTGCTCCACGTCTCGTCTCACGGCTGCAGCTTTCTCGGGCGCGCTCGCGGCCCGGCCTGCCAAGAAGTCCCCGCTTCTGGGGCCCCGGCGGCCTCTGGCCCCCCTCTGCGGCGCCCGCCGCCTCGGCGGCGAGCCCCGGGGGCGGGGGCGGGGAGAGGGCGCGGGCCTCCTCCTCGGCAGGCGGCGCGGCTTCCCGCACGCCCTCCCGGCCTCCTGCGCAGGCGCCCCCCGTCCTCGGAGTGCGGGGGCGCAGGAGGAGAGGGGGAGGAGGAGGAGGAGGAGGAGGAGGAGGAAGGAGGAGGATGAGGAGGAGGAGGAGGAGGAGGAGGAGGAGGGAGGAGGAGGAGGAGGAGAGAGGAGGAGGAGGAGGAGAGGAGGAGGAGGGAGGAGGAGGGAGGAGGAGGAGGAGGAGGAGGAGGAGGAAGGAGGAGGAGGAGAGGAAGGAGGAAGCAGGAGCTCGGAGGGACCCCCCCGGGGGGCCCTCCGAGCCTGCGGAGGGGGGGGCCCGCGCCCTCGGCCTCTCTCCCCTCCCCCCCCCCCCGGGCCCGGCCCGCCGCCCTGCGGCGCCCGCCGGCGCCGTCCCTGCCCGGGCCGGCGAGCGGCCATGAGCGGCGGCGGCACCTGGTCCAACCTGCGCAGCAAGTTCCGGACCAGCGAGCGCTGCGTGGAGGCGCCCGCGGCCCGCGCTTGCGGGGGCGCCGCCCGCCCGCCCTCCCTCCCTCCCCGCGGCTGGTGCTGCACGTCTTCCTCGCGCTCCCGTGCTCATCCCGCCTCTTATTTTTTTTCTTGTTTCGTCGTCTTCTTCTTCTTCTCTTCTCTTCTTTTCTTGTTCTTCTTCTTCTTCTTCTTAATATTACCATTCTTCTGATTGTTACTAATTTTCGTATTCTAAGTATGATGATTGTCTTTCTTTTTAGTCTCAACTTTTTCCGCCTCCTCAGTTCCTCCTCCTGCACACTTGCTAGATCTGAGTGCTGTCCTCCTGTCTCCCCTGATGCTGTCCAGTGCTGCCGCCGCCTCCTTGGCGTATCTCCACGCGCAGGATTTCATTACCTGGTATTTCGAATGTTCTTTGTGAGATCGGATCGGTATCGGTCCTTCAATCATGGTGTTCATGCTGAAGCGTTGGCTACATTTCAGGAATGGTGCTTTGCTCCAGTCGTTCAGGAGTTGTCCTTGTCGCAGCGCGGGCCGCATTTTTGGACCCGAGTCTTTCTTCGTCGATGCGGGCCTCCTCCTTCCCCTTCCTCCGCGTTCCCGGTGCTCATGCTCCTTCTCCTCCTTGTGCTCCCCTGCTGCTGACCCACTCGGTTCTGTGGTATACATCTAGATGTACAGCAACCTAGGAGAGGGAGACTGGACCATGAAGAACATTCATTCGTACATTCATGATTCTGCTGATCCTCCTCCTTTCTCGCTGCCTCCTCTTCCTCCTGCTTATCCTCCTACTCCGTCGCCGCCTCCTTCCCCCGCCTTCTCTACTGTGCACGGCTCATTTCAGCTCGCGCATTGCGCGATGGTCATCTTGGAGATCAAGGTCCTCCAGGACACCCCAGTCGGCGGGTACAACACAATTCAGCGCAATAGGAAAGGATGTGAGGGAGGCATAAGATTTCAAATATAGCGCGAGCGCGCCTAGCTTGTCCTCGTCCCACTCCTTCCGTCCCCTCCTCCTTGAACGCCGTCCCGCGCACACCCCTAAGCCTCGTAACCAAATGGCTCTAGCCCCCGCCTCCCTCCTGCATCCTCCCTGCTCCCCCTCCTTCCTCCCCCCTGCCCGTCGTTCTCTCCCCGTCCAACAGGCGCCACACAGGGGGTTGCCCATCCAGGTGATTTTTCTCAGCGCCCGGGTGGGGGGCGACAGTCCACCTGTGCACGGGCGACCGGGCATCCCGCCCAAGTTGCAACAGGGCACACCCTCCTCTTCCTCCTCCTCCTCCTCCTCCGCCTCCTCCCCCTCTTCGACCCCCATCCCCCCTCCAACCTGCTCGATTATTCTCCTACTCCTGCTCCTCCTCCGTCTCCTCGAGGGCACCGTTCGGGAGGGATATGCTGATGGGGGGAGACGCATCGGCCCCCAATCGCCCATTCATCACCGATAGGTGTCCGATAGCCCGCCCGGCCCAGGAGCGTCCGAAAGCTGCGCTCGGGCCCCTCGGGGGCCCATCGCCGATCTGCCGGCGATGTACCGCCGAACCCAGCTCGACGCTCCCTTCTCTGAGCCAGTCCCTCCCTCTCCGACTCCGGCTCCGGCTCCCACTCCTGCCCCCAACACGTTTCCTGAAAGCTCCTGAGGGCTCCTGAGGGCTCCGGCCCTGAGGGCTCCGGCCCCGAGGGCTCCTGAGGGCTCCCCGACGCGGCTTCTGAGGGCTCCCGCCCCCCCGCGCCGCCCTCTGAGGGCCGGCCCCGCCGGAGCGAGCTCGCGCGCTCGCCTCGCCTCGCCTCCGCACGAGTAACCAGCCTCGAACTTATCCCTATCCCTAAGATTGACACGCCCAAAGGCGATGACAATCTTAGGCGATGCCCCCTCAGAAACTGAGGGACAGGGACAGGGACCCCTAAGAGATTGACACGCCCAAAGGCGATGACAGTCTTAGGCGATGCCCAACATAGGGATGGGGATAAGTTCCAGCTGGCAAACGAGGGCCCCTCAGCTCCTGAGGTCTCCCGCGCTCGTCGGGCTCTCCGGGCCCCTCCCCGCGCGCCGGCGGGGAGCCGCCGGCCTTGCCCTCCTCCGCGGAGAGGGCCTGCGCCGCGCCGCGCCGCGGCGGCGTGACCCCCCCCCCCCGAGCCAGCGGTGGTTCCGTGCAGTGGCCCCTCCTCCGGCGCCTGGGCCTCCCCCACGGCCTCCTCCGTCGCCTCGGCCTCCGTACGCCTCGGCCTCCGTCGCCTCGCCGCCCCGCGCGGCGGCAGCGGCGTGGCCCGCCGAGGCTGCGCTCGGCTCGCCGGGCGGGGCGGGCGTGGGGCTCAGAGGCCCCTCCCCCCCCCCCCCGAGCCCTCTACACACCTCCTTCCTGCTCCCCCCACCTCCTCCCCCTCCTCTCTTCGCTCCTCCGTCTTCTCTTTTTTCGTTCCTGCCTCCCTCCTCTCTTTCTCTTGCTCCTGCTCTCTGCCAGCGCCTGCTCTTGGCTCGAACGTGTGGCCTCGCTGTTGTCTGGGAGGGGTCTGGGAGGAGTCTGGCGGCTGATAGCCCGGCCATGATCACAGCAGCGTTCCGCCTTGACCAGGGTGCTGTGGATCAGCGAGCGCAGAGATGCGGTTCGCACCACGTGCTGCTCTGTTGGAGCCCTCGCCCAGAAAACGCTTCCTCTCCTCCTCCTCCTCCTCCGACGACGACGGCCTCCCGAAGAGGCGTTCTCCTCCTCCTCTTCCTCCTCCGACGACGGCGGGCGTCGACGACGACGACGGACGTCGACGACGACGACGACGGCCTCCCGAAGAGGCGTCCTCCTCCCCCTCCTCCTCTCCGACGACGACGACGACGGACGTCGACGACGACGACGACGGACGTCGACGACGACGGCATAGACGACGACGACGACGGACGTCGACGACGACGGCATAGACGACGACGACGACGACGACGAAGACGACGAAGACGACGACGACGACGACTCACGGCGTCCACGACGACGACGACGACGACGGGCGGCGGCGGACGACGACGACGACGACGACGACAACGGACGACGACACGCCGCCGCCGCCGACGACGACGACGACGACGAAGTCGACGACGACGACGACGACGACGACGGCGACGACGACGACGGCGACGACGACGACGGCGACGACGACGACGACGACGGGTGGTGGCGGACGATGACGACGACGACGACGACGGACGACGACGACGACGACGACGACGACGACGGCGGCCTCCCGAAGAGGCGTCCTGCTCGGACACGAAGGCCGCTGCCGCAGCGCCCGGCGCCGGCGCGCCCCCGCCCGACCGGGCGGAGATCGGGCGGGCGACCTGGCGCCGCCGCGGGTCGCCGTTGTCCTCGGCGTCGTCGTTGCCGCCGCAGGTCGCCGCCGTGAGTCGTCGCCGTTCGTCGTCGTTCGTCGCCGCTCGTCGCCGTTCGTCGCCGTCGCTCGTTGTCGCCGCCGCGTTGGTCGCTGTCGCTCGTCGTTGTCAGGTGCCGTCGCCATTCGTCGTCGTCGTCGTCGTCGCGGTTCTTCGTCGTCGTCGTTTGTCGCTGTCGTTCGTCGTCGTCGTCGTCGTGTCCTTGTCGTCGTCGTCGTCGTCGTCGTCGTCGTCGTCGTCGTCGTCGTCGTTCGTCGTCGGCGCCGTTCGCGCCCGTTCGTTTCCGTCGTTCGCCGTCGCCGTCGTAGTTTTAGCCGCTGCCGCCGCTGCTGCTGCCGCCGCTGCCGCGGCCACCCTCGCCGCCGCCGCCGCCGCGGTCGTCGTCGTCGTCGTCGTCGTCGTCGTCGTCGTCGTCGTCCGTTCGTCCGTTTTCGTCGCTGTCGTTAGTCGTCGCTGTCGTTCGTCCCCGTCGTCGCCTTCGTCGCCGTCGTTGCTCGTCGTCGTTCGTCGTCGTTCGACGCTGCCGTTCGCCCTCGTCGTCCGTCGTCGTCGACGTCGTCGTCATCGTATTCGTCGTCTTCGTCGCAAGAAGAAGAGGGGAGCTACATGAGCAGATGGGGACCGGGAAGAGCAGACATGCTGTCAGCGCAGCGCGACGCCAAGCTCAAATCGCAAGTTGCCGCACCGCCGTCTGGAGATCCCATCACCCAGGAGCTGGCCCCGGCAGGCGCACGCCCGCTGGCAACTGCTCGGTGCGCATTGGCCTCCCAGTCTGGCCAGGAGCTGATACGCACATGCCGAGGGCCTGGGCCAAAGTTCGGCCTGCTCGAAGTGAGTGTGGAAAAAATTGGGACGAAGGCCGACGGCAGCTCCTGCACATTGTGAACAAGGCTCGCTGCCGAGGTCGTCGCGGGCGCTGTCCACTTGATACAAGACGTCGCCCGCCCAACAGCGGCCGCTGTCGGCCTTGGGTACCATTTGCCATTTGGGATCCCATTCTTCCAGTATCCATGTCGGGTGTGCCAATAACGGGTGCTGGGTAATCGGCGGTGTATTCTATCTCCTTCCCTGACCCCCGCTCTTGCCAGGCCCCCTCCTCCCACTCCTGCTCCACCTCCTCCACCTCCTCCTCCTCCGTCTTTTTTCTTCCTGAGTGAACGGCCCAGGCAGCGGCCGAGCATCGTCAGAGATCTTTGGATATGATTGCTCCCTGTCCAGAGCGGGGGGACGGGGGAGGAGGCCCGGCCCCGCCCCCCAGGCGCTACCTGCACGCCATGGCCGCGAGCTATCCAGCCCCGGGGGGTGCGCGGCAGCCAGACCTCCCCCTGATCCTGTTGCCCCCCCTGATCCTCTTCGTCCTTCACCCTTACCTCGTCCTCCTCATCCTCGTTCTCCTCGTCCTGATCTTCCTCGCCCCACTCGTCGTCGTCGTCGTCGGCCTCCTCGCTCTCCTTCGTTATCATCACCCTGATCTTTATCGACCCTCTCCTAATCCAAATCTTCCCGCCCTCGTTGTCGCCGCCACCTCCGCCGCCGCCGTCGCCGTCGTCGTCGTCGTCGTCGTCGTCGTCGTCGTCGTCGTCGCCGTCGCCGTCGCCGTCGCCGTCGCCGTCGCCGTCGCCGTCGCCGCCACCGTCGTCGTCGTCGCCGGCGTCGTCGCCGGCGTCGTCGTCGTCGTCGTCGTTGTTTTCGTCCCTCTCCTCGCCCGCCTCGTGACACTGGCGAGTGCGTCCAGCGCCGAAGGGGGTGCGCGGCCGCCGCGGGGGGCGATCTGTGGCGGGGCGTGGGCCGCAGCGTGGTGGGCGGGGCCTCCGGTGCAGCCACAGGGTGGGCCGTTTGGGGGATCGCTCCTCCTCCCTCCTTCCCCTCCTCCTCTTCCCCCCCCCTCCACCGTTCCTGTCGCACCCCGAGGGTGGTCGAAAGGGCGGGCTGGGTGTTTCGCTTCAGACCTCCTCACCATTTGTGATCCTGACGCTTCACATTTGCAACAGTTTCACGGATGGAGGGCGCGCGGTTGTCAAACTGTGGCTCTCGCCTTCACGCCGCGCATACTCGTTTCAAAACACTGCAAGAGTTTCACGGATGGAGGGCGGGTGGTTTTCAAATGTGGCTCTCGCCTTAGCTCCGCGTGCATTCGTTTTAAACAAGTGCAAGAGATTCACGGATGGAGGGCGGGTGGTTTTCAAAATGTGGCTCTCGCCTTAGCACCCCGCACACTCGCCAAATAATGCATTGTAAGAGTTTCACGGATGGAGTCCGGGTGCTTTTCAAACTGTTGCTCTCGCTTTGGCGCCGTGTACTTTCGTTTTCAACAATTGCAAGGGTTTCGCTGACGGAGGGCGGGCCGCTTTTAAAATGTGGCTCTCGCCCTAGCGCCGCGCGCATTCCCCGTGAATCTTTGCAAGAGCTTCGCTGATGGAGGGCGGGTGGTTCTGGAGCGTTCTCAGGGCACTTTGGAAGGCTCTGAAGTGGCCGCGGCGCCCGATGCGTCCTCCAGAGCCGGCAGATCTCGGAGATTCCTGATTTTCTTCAGCCGAATTTTTCCCAGTCCTGACCTCGTCTTACCAAGTCGGCCCAGAGGGTAGCTGGGGCACGCTCGGATCGACCGGGGGGGAACGCTCCCGAGCTTCGTGCTGGGGAAACGATGTCTCGGGGTGGGCGTGGGTCGTGAGGGATCGACGAGGTCGGGGCGCTGGAAACGCGCGCGCTTGTCTTCCGTGGGCGCGTCGGTGCGTTGGAGTCGGTGCATAAAGCAGTACAATTCGGACATTATGTAACTACATAAACGTAAACTTTCGGAACTCCGCGCGGACTTCTTGGACTTGCGCTGGGCCCTCCCCCCGGCGGCGCCTCCAGCGCCGCTCCTGGCGGGCTCCGCGCGCCACAGAGGGTGGCCCAGCGCCGATCCAAGAAATTTTCGCGCGGACCTCCCACATGTTATTTCTATTGTTTCTCGTCCTCCAAGAAAGGCGGGCTACGCGCAAAGTGAATTGTTTCCCCTGTGTGGGAGCGAAGCCGAAAGCGTTGGCCGGTCCCAGAGAAAGTCGAGCGTGGCCGAACGCTAGGCAGAACCGCCCCCGAGTGCGCAGGATGAACAGGAGGCGACAACAAGCGACGACCATAACTGCAAGGAAACGCGTGCACGCGCACTTCAATGTTCTCGTGCGCATGGGTGCCGGCGGGAATTCTGGCCGGGCTCTGTCATCCTGGATCGGCTGGCCACATTCAGGGGCAACGCTAGGGGGTCCATAGGCTCATCCCCATTGATCGCTCGTAAAGGCCTGACAGCCCACCCGACCCAGGAACGTACGGATGCGCTATCGTGGGGCTATTGTCGACCTGCCGGCGATGTATCGTCCATGTAAGCTTGATGTTCCCTCCCCCCCTGAGCCAGTCCCCTCCATGATCTTGGCATCGCTCGGACGCGTGTATTTTTTTCCTCGGCGAGGACCATTGAGGGGCATCCTGGATCATTTGGCAAAAAAAGCTCGCGCGAAATCGAAACATACCTTGGGAATGGACGTCCGAGCCATGGCAAGACATGCCCCCCCTCACAAATGTGACCTTGGCCACTTAGGCGGAGAGAGCCCCAGGAGGGGTCCAATACGTCGCGCCTGGCTGGGGGCACCTGGGGCCAGGATTGCTTCTACCAGCCTCGGAGTCTGGTTCGGGGACGCTGGGGTCGGCGCATGTTCTACCTAGGGCCTTGCTTTTGAGGATCGAAGGAGTTGTCATCTCTTCCTCGGCGGAAGGTCGGCGGAAGTAAGACGAGGGCGGCTGCGGAAGGCTGGCAGAAGGCGGCGGAAGGAAAAGATGCGAATTCGAGAGATGAAAGTGTTTTTGGGTTCAGGGGTTCCGCAATCGCCCACGTTCAATGGAAGAAAACCCTCCCGGACCGGACAATTGGCGTTTTTTGAACGGCCCTTGGCGTTTATGAAAAACCCTGCCCTGTTCGATTCCGTCTTTGGGTGCGCTTACTAAGCGACTTCGCGTGTCGGGGTGGTCATTATCGGAGTGTTTTTTTGACTTCTACACATATCCCATTATCCCAAGTGTGTGTGTGTGTGGTGTTTGTTCTTCAGGATGCTTGGCGCCATGCCGCCGACCCCCAAGGCCAAGGGGGGTCGTGACGTGTTCATTTCGGAAGGGTGCGGTTGCGTCTGGGTCTGGGCACGCTTTCGGTTTTCTGTTTGCCTTTTTGGTGCGCCTTGCATCCTTAACCCTAGGCTGGTGATAATCGCACCCTGAGGATAGTAAAGTTCGGGGTCCTGGGAGGATCATCGATCTTTCCGGGAGGTATCGATGTTGGAAAGAGCGTGTTCTACCGCTGCTGGCGGAGAACCAGGGGGGGTCGCTGGGGGTTCCTAACCCGTCCCCCCCCCCTCGAAAACCGGGGGGGGGGTCACTACCGGTTCGAACCCCCCCCCCAGTCCATCATGAAAGGGGGGGGTTACTACCGGTTCGAACCCCCTCCCTCCTCGAAAACCTGGGGGGGGTCACTACTGGTTCGTACCCCCCCCATCTTCCTTTCTCGAAAACCGGGGAGGGTCATTGCCAGTTCGGACTCCCCCCCCCTCGCCGCCGGCAAACGATGCCCGCTCCTCAGGACAGTTGAAGAATGGTGGGGATGTTGGGACAGTGGTGGGAACGGTGGTGGTGGGGACAGTGGTGCGGGGACAGTGGGACAGTGGTGCGGACAGTGGTGGGGACGGTGGTGGTGGGGACAGTGGTGAGGGGGCAGCAAGACAGTGGTGGGGACAGTGGGACAGTGGTGGGGACGGTAGTGGTGGGGATAGAGGTGAAGGCGGTGGTGCGGACAGTGGTGGGACAGTGGTACAGTGGGGAAAGTGGTGGGGACAGTTGGGACAGTGGGACAGTGATGGGGACAGAGGGGACGGTGGGACAGCACAGTGGGACAGCGGCGGGGACAGTGGGACAGTGGTGGGACGGCGGCGCCTCCGGTGCCGCCCCTGGCGCGCTCCGCGCGCCAGGGAGGGGGGTCAAACGCTGTTCCGAGAGATCCGCGCGGATCTCAGAGTTTTCATATTATGTCATTGGTCGTTCCCGGAGGAACGGGTGCGAACTGGGTAACGATTTGCCAGGCGTAGGGGCGGGTGTCGCGTCGGCCACCAATGAGCCTCTTTGAGGTCTCGCTGTTGCCACCCCCCGCGCCCAGCCAAGCCAGCAGCAGAGGAGCAGGCGGGCGCGCAGCAGTGGTTGCTATCGTTCCTGCGGCTGTACCCGTGCTCACACTGTGCGGAGGGCTTCATGGACGTCTGCGAGGCCATGCCGCCGACGATGGGGTCTCGCAACGAGTATGCATTGTGGTGGTGTGAGGCCCACAACAAGGTCAGCGTGGACCACGTTGGCAATGAGCCCAGGCGGTGCGATCTTGCTCAGTTGGTGTCTGATGCGACGAGGAGCGGCATGACACTGGATGAGTTGTCGAGCAGATCTGCGGTGGCGCTGTCCGCGGAGTGAGCGGCCCGCGTGCGCTACGTGAACCCTGGTCCGCATGGCAGCACAGTGCTACTGGTCACCACATGGCCGCATCATCGTTGGGCCAGTGGCACGACCAGCTGGTGTTGCGATTGCACAGAAGGCAGTTGTTGTCGCGTTCCGACTCGGGCGTCTGCGATTGCAGAGATTCGTTCCAGTCTTGAATCGCTCGCGCACTATCGGTCTCAAAACAACGGGTGTCGGCCAAGGAGTAGTAGTCAGTCGGCGCGACCAGTGCAGACGGAGTGGCTGCCGAAGGACGCCGCGATAAAAGTACAGCACACCGTTGGTGTGGCCCTCCCTATCTTTCCTTTTGCCCCCCCCTCATTTGATCTTTCAC